AGAAAGAGAGTCTGGAAGAAGAGTCCGACGAGGAGTCCCAAGAGAAAAGCGAAGAGAAGCAGCCAAAAGAGAAAGAGAAAAAGGAAGAAGAGTCCGACGAGGAGTCCCAAGAGAAGAAAGATGGAGGTGAAAAAGAAGAGACCTCGAGCGAGGAGGAAGATGTACAAGAGATTCTCAAGGAGACAGCGAAGAAAGAGGTGCTCGAAGAAGAGAAAAATGTGAAAGAGCTCTTGGGGAAAATGACGGAGAAAAAGGAGAAGCTGGATGAGGCCCGAAGAGCGTTTGCCTCGACCTCGGAAAGGTACGAGGAGGCGAAGGTGTACCGAGCGGTCAAGGTACGAGAAAAAGAGAATTTGTCCGAGCTGTGGGACAAGTTGGAGGATGAGTTGGAAAAGAGCAAGAAGGATTGTGAAGCGATAGAAGCCCAAGCTGATGAGATTTTGGAGCATGAAGAAGAGTTGGAAAAGGAGATGGATGAGTTGAGGCCAAAGCTGGCCGAAGCGTTGCGAGAGTTGGGTGAAAAGAGAAAAGAGCTTCGAAAGTACGAGAAGGAAGAAAGGCCGCCGCTTTTGAACCCAAAGGTGGACGTCGCAATCAAGGAAGAGCTCATGGATTTGCGATTGGGAAAGCAGAAGGTGGAAATTGAGCTTCAGGAAGTTCAAGAGCAAAACGAGAAGCTCAAGAAGAAAAAGGAAGAGAACGAGAAAGAGATGGAAGCGATGAAAGGAGAATTGGAGATGCTCCGAAAGAGGAAGCGTGAAAGCGTTGGATCCATGGATGAAGAGAAAGCGAAGAGCATGAAAGAGGAGAATAAGACCTTGAAGAAGAGCATCAAAGGTTTGTCGGAGACCAACAAGAAGTTGGAAAGTGACTTCCAGAAGTTGAAAAGCGAGAAAGGACAGGAGAACCTGGAAGGGAAGTTCGTTTTGAACATCGAAGAAGAGACCGACGAGGAGGAAGACAAAAAGAAGAAGCTTTGCATTCTGTGTTCCCGACACGGCCACAGCTACATGATGTGTTGGGACGCAGGGTATTCCTACGACAAGAATGGGAAATACACCCCGTGGTTGAATGTGAAGAACGAGGATGGAACGGAGAGAACAAAGGCCCAGTTCAGGAAGTACTTTCGTGAAAACGAGAAGGAGATTAGGGCCGAGTACGCAAAGTTGCTTGACGAGAACAAGAAGAAGTTCAGAAAAGGAGATGGAAAAGGAAAAGGGAAGAAGCCCAAAGAGGAAGGTGAAAAGAAGAAGTGAAGCCCTGAGGGGGCTTGGAAGAGAAAGATGTCCGAAATGACAATAAACTAAAGGTGCAAGATCGCACCTATAGACGAAGTCTTGAAAAAGCCGTCTGTGTATGTGTTTGAAGAGAAGTGAGAGAGGCTACCAGTAGCAGCGTAGTTTCTTCGTTTCACGTTTCACACCAACAAAAGAAGTGTGCACCACGATGTGTTTAAAGGAAAAGGATGACCGAAGTGAGCGATGAGGAGTTTGCATCCGAGTGAACTTAATTGCGATGAGAAGTGTGAGGCAATGAAGTGTAACTCGGAGAGGGGGTAACAAACTTTTCGGTTAGCCATGTGCCCCCTGTAGAAGTATTTTTCCTTGTCGTTTCACTGCTGCCAACAAGGCTCAAGGGACTGCTGAACAGACCGTGTCCCAGCAAAAGTGCCCGCTAGTGGTTTCAAGTTCAAGGGTCTGGAACGAACCCTAAATCGTTTTAGTGCCACAGCGCAGGAGGGCGGGCGCCCTCCTGGCCGAGCACGAAAGTCGAAGGCAAGGTATCAAGGATGCAGTGTCCATTGCTCACCATAGACCGGCTCCGCGTCGATCCAGTCCTGCAAATGGTCACCGAGCGGGTCCTCATACGCATCTCCGCCAGAACGGGAGTCCTCCTGGGCTTGTGCCTCGTGTTGCCCCCGAAGGCCAGGGAGCACACTAGCATGCACCAGGTGTGCCCATGACTCACGCCAATATCCCTTTACCACAAGTCCAATGATTAGGGTCAGCACCAAGTCGACTAGAAAGCTGGGCAACCAGGAAGGTTGGCGAATTGTGTCTATAGGGCTGTCTTCCACTGGCACTCCAAGAGCTACATGCCGCCTCTCAGTAGGCATGTGGAGTAGCGCATCCCACAAAGGGGTGGACGCTCCGCTAGGGAGCACCACCAGTTGGCTGACCCTGGGCAGGGTCAGAAGGTTCACTAAGCAGTGATGCTGTTCATCCGTGAGGAGGAGGGCCATTTTAAGGTTCACAGGCTGCATCGCCTTGTTTCAGCTGCTAATCAATTCATTGGAACCGCAGGTTGAAAGATGTGTAAGTTCTTGCCGCGCTCAGGCTGAAGATTTGGCCGCGCCAATGCTTGTACCATCCGCTGAAAACCTGTGCTTTATTTGCTGTGTGCGTTGGAGAACTTGGTTCTTTCTCCGATATTGGTCAAAATGCAAAAAAACCCCTGACCGAAAAAGATTGACTGGCCTGTATTCCTTGAAACCCAAGTATTTTAGCATGAAAAGCTATAAACTGTTGATATGTTAAACAGTTAAACACTTTTGCGCTGTAAACCTTGAAGAAAATGTTTCATCTTTTCAATTTGTTTTAAATTTCGCAGTCATGTTTTTTTGATAACACGCATTTAAACATCGTTTTTACATTGAAATGATCTTAGTTGGTGTAGTGAAAGCCTCCAAGCCTTTAACAAGAATTTCAGGCGCTAAAAAAGTCTCAGACCCCTGAAAAAAGCTGTTTGGCTTGGATGCAGAGTGCTTCGCACCACACGCAACATTTGCAGCCGACAAGTCTCGTTCATTAATTTTTTGTTTTGATGTTATCTATCTGTACCATCAAAATCACATACAGCAAAAGGTGTCCTCGAAACGTACATGTTCTGTGAAATTGAATCTGCGCTTTCTCGTTTAACATTTGATTGTGTATTCTTTTCGAAAGCGAAGTTTGAACAAATTGCTTCACTCAGTGTTTCTAGGGTCCAGGGTCTTTATTCTGTGCTTTAGATGCTCTACCGATGTTTCGGAGATGCGCGGATTGTGCATTTCTGATCATCTGTCAATCTCCAATGTGGAATTATCTTTCATTTGCCCCGTCAACAGTCTCGTTTTGGTGCTCGATTTTGTAACTCGTGCCTCTCGTGCATCCATATCTGTTTAAGTCAATAAGTAAATCAATGTAGGTTGTTAGGCTTGGTGAGAATTTAACTCTGATGCTTCCCACTGCACTGAGTACCAATTTCGGGCGCGACTCAGTCGAGAGCAGAGGCATCTTGATGTTTCAGACGCGCAACGGCGCACTGCGTGCACGATCGCAGGCACGCGATCTTCAGGTCTGACGCTGAAGCTTTCAGGTTTGAATGGGCGCTTAGACGCGGCCTCAGCAGCAAGGAATAAGATTCGAAGCCGCGCCCCTTAACCCGAAGCTCTAAACCTTCAAACAGCCCCCGCTTCGTTGGGGCGCGGATTGATGACAAAGCCCCCAGGCTTCGCTGCAATTTGGCAAAGCATTTTTGCAGGACTTGAGATCAGAGCATTATTGCTGAAGAGCGTGGGGAAATTTTGCAATCATTGTGCAGCGTTCAGCATGTTGGTGGAACAATCTTGTGGACCATTTGTGCAGAGCACATGTCGTTTACACCGAGTATCTGGAAGGCATCTTTGCAGTATGCTGGGCGTTCCAGAGTGCGTCCCTCTGTTATGTTCATGCGTGCAGCATCAACATCGGTGTGGACAGCGACTCATCTTCTGCTCCACACGTGTGTGCTGGAAGATTCCGCAATATTCCGTGCAATTGTGCCATTGTCCGGTCTGTGGATGGGCATCTGCTGGCCTTCCGGTCCTCTCCTCGGGACTCGATTCGGGCTATCCTTTTACCGCTGGATGAAAGTGGAGCACCGGGAGTTTGTGTAAGGCCTCAGAAAGGACCGGGACTGTGACCAGGTGAGTAAAAGCCCACATATTGCGCTCGATCGCAAAACCTCGGGGAAGGGGTATCATGGGGTGCCTTGACCACATATCTATGATGCTTGGTTGCTTGCTCGCTTGCTTGCTTGCTTGCTTGCTGGCTTTCTTGAATTTTGACATTCGGCATGCTTGATTATTGAAGTGGCAAACGGTGCGGTGGCTCCGAGTCGCCTGAGTTTTTTGTGCCATCTCACCTGCGGGGGATGACATGACAAGCTTGGTGAGGACTCGGCCCTTGTCGTTGTGAATTTTTGTTGACAGATTTTGCCAGATTGCTTGACAGGAACGCAGCCAGTTGCGGTTCCCACAACCCCCGTTCAAATCAAACCCACGCCTGCAACTGTCCTTTGCGAATATAGCGGGAGTGCTTCATCACTAAACATTTGGTCCATGGTTGTGTTCCAAACAACATATGTGCGAGCAGGAGTTGAACCATTGTGCAATGTAGCTATTAACTAGCACTCAGCACTGTATGGAGCCAAAATAGTCAGATAACAACAAGCCAGCTTTGAAATATCTCCAACTTTCGATGTGGAACTGGTTGTCCCATGGCATGATTGGGAGGCTTTGCAATGTTCACTGCTGCGCTGGAAAAAGAAGTTGCGTTCAACACGTTTCGTTTCGTTTGTTAGGCGTGGCCCCGGCAAGCGAAGGCCGCGGTTTGAAGCATATGCCATCATGCTGAAACGCATTGATTAACGGCAGTGCGTGGCCTTGCTGCGCCGATGTCCATTGCATTTTTCGGGTGCTTTTGGGTGTTCGGCTTACTGCATTGGGGAAAAAGATCTTCCTGTTTGCTGCTGAGGTGGCGTATTTGTTTGCCCATCGTTGTCACAGTGTTGGGGGCTCGAGTTCCTTACGACGCACATCGCCACTGTGTATTGTCCCAATCGTTTTGCTGGAGTCGTTTGAGGCTGGGTGTGGGCAAGGCCGATGGGCTGCTTGTGGAATGTGTTGAGATGTGTGAGTTGTGAATGGCATTGCAAGCCAGGCATTGATTCCAACAGTGACCTTGGCAAATGGCGCAGAGATGCAGAAATTGGCGCTTGGGCTGTACAACGTCCCGCGAGATCAAGTCAAGGCGGTTTGTGACGGTTGCATGTGTCCACACACAGAGAGACTGCTTTTACGGCCGTCACGCCTAACGCAGGTTGTGATTGATGCTGGCCTAGGGGCCGGACTACGTCACTTCGATTTCGCTTCGTTCTATGACAACGAGGTCGCTGGCGCAGAGCCCCTTCAGACAATCGAAGTTTGTCAGCTTACGATGGGTCAGGCCGAGTGTGGTGCAGCTCTGCGCAGCTGGCTCAGCGCAGGACCGGACGGGGACTTCTGAAAGGGATCGCGTGAGACTCCTGACATTTGCTGGGCTTTGGACGTGTGTCGCCTCAGGTTCGAAGAGGGGGGACTGCATGTCGTTGTTCTGAGTATGCGAGTTGTTGAGCATGTAACTTGTTGGAAGTGATGAGATGATGCTTTAATTAGATGCAGAAGCTTCATGCCCTGAAGCGAGCTTGCTTGCCATTCATGTTGCGACTGTCGTCAACACTTAAAACCTCCTGACAGGCCACAGCAGATCTGAGCTTTTCGTCACGACAAAGGCAAATGTCCATTTTGCCGTTTCACCTGTGTGAGCTGTTTGGCCGAAAGGTTCACGTTGCATCCAAGTCCAAGCGCCCTAGTGCCCGAACGCTCGGCTTCAGGTTTGGACCACGGACCTCGGTGACCCGGCTGCTGCTGTACGTAGCGCTGACGCTCGGTGGGTGTGAGGGCTGTATGTCTCCACGGATGCACAGTCGGAGTAGAACGGCTTTATAGTGCCTTTATCTTCTTTTTGGTGTGTGTGTGATTATTTTCGAGTTGTGTGCGAAGCCTGCAAGAGCTCTGAGATCAGCCAGCCGAGGAGATCTCCATCGCTGAGCTGGGCCTTGGAGCAGTGGACCTCGTGTGGTGCTGAGATACGCGGAACAAGCGGTAAACGGTGCGTGCACTTGCGGAAGCTCGGGCAAAAGCAAGTTCTCTCAACGTTTAAGCCAGTTTAAGCTGGCCCATGTGGCCCCCAATCTCTAAGGTGATGGTGCATTGGCCGATGCCTGGCAAGCACGTGTCTGCTTACCTCGCGTTGGAGGTGTGTCTGGTATCCGGGGAAGTTGTGTGTAGGAGATGCCGCGCTGTCCTTTCAGGAGCTGGTGCGGAGTGGCAAAGCAAGGGCGCTAGGCGAGTTGAGTTCTCGTGGCATCTCCTCGCGGGTTTTGGTGCTTGTCACTTGTGAGTCCATGCTAATGATGTTTAGTGATGTCCTATGATGTCTTAAATGGTCGTGAAGTTGATGGCCCCATGGAAAGGCATCTCGAACTACTCACCCGCAGACTACGAGGAGCTCATGAAGTCTGCCTCGATCGCGCCGTTCCTCGGCTTGTCCACCAACATGATGCATTGAACGATGCACAGATGTTTTCACATGTTTTCACAGACAGATTTCAGATCCCTTGCGGGGGCACAGAGTGAACGTTCAAGAGGGAACCGACGGGAACCTTAACGTGTTGCTGCAGATTGAAGGATCGTGAACACATTCGAGAACAACCCCCTGCTCTATCGCAAGGAGTGGTGCGACTTCTTCCAGGACCGAGGAGTGGTGGTCCAGGCCCATGACAGTACGTTCTGTGACTCCCACATACTCGCACTCCGTTTCCCAGACCTCGAAACAAGGCGTACAAGCCACTTCAGAGAGGAGGAGCCCCGAAAGCCGTCATGAGACGCCCCTGCTTTGCTCTAGCCTGTGCTCTGCCTCTTTTGTGGTCTTTTCCCCTTTCCGTGCTCTTTTGCCCTTCTCCGCTCTTTTCCCCTTTTCTGCTCGGTGGCCCTGCAAATCTTCGCGAGGACCGGTGCTGAGCTGCGAGCCTGTACAGGCCATCTCCGAGCGCTGCGGCCGGAGCCCAGCGCAGGTCTGCCTGCGGTGGAACCTCGAGAAAGGCGCGAAGACGCTCTGCTTTTTGCTTTCGCTTTGTGGGGACACTGCTTCGGATGCCCATGCTTTTCGCATCGTGTGGGGATGGGGATGAAAGAGGCAACGCCGTCGTCTTCAAGAGCCTCACGCCATCCAGGATCCAGGAGAACGCCGGTGCACTCAGATGATCTGGATGACCAGCGGCCAAAGAAAAAAGACCTCACGAGCCAAGGTCGACGTTTTCGACTTCTCCCTGTCGGCAGAGGAGGTGGCTGCGCTGGATGCGCTCACCACCGAAGAAGTGAGGGCAGAAGCCCAGAGTCTGGGGCCTTCATTCGGGGATGCTGTGCCACACAAAGGTGTGCAAAGTTGTGCTATGTTGTGCTATGTTGTGCTATGTTGTGCTATGTTGTGCGTTGTCTTTCAAGTTGTGTGTTCCTTGGTGCTGAGGCCACTGGGAGCAGCGCCGCAGCGGCACGGACGCGCCCTGGGGCCCAGGCCTGCGGCCCGAGAAGCGGACGCTGGAGGCTTGCACGGGACCCTTTGGCCTTCAGTTGCAGTTTGCAGTGCTAAGGCCCTAAGGGCCTAAGGCCCTAATGCCTGAAAGCCCTAAGGCCCAAGCCCCAACTAAGGCATAGCCTGCGCAATGCATATCAGCTTGTAGCACCACTCTTACCCATCCAGTCGAGCTCATGGTTTAAAGATTCGAAAAAAGTTTCTCACGAGGTGAACTCTTCATTCTTACCCGGTCATGCTGGCAATATGGGCTGTTGTTTTGAAGTCCTTTCATTAAGCATTTTGCGCTGAAGTTTCCTTCTTGCGGTGCGTGCGGGTTGTGGCACCACGCTTTCAGAATTTTCTTGAAGCCTCAACCTCACATTTGCTTCAAGAGTTCTGGCAGTGGTGTCTTTGTTTTCATTGTTTTGCCTTTGTGTAACAATTTTGGAAGGGCTAATGGGTCAACTGCTGAGATTGATGGGGTCGATGTGAGAGGAGGAAACCTCAATACTCTGCGACTCTGCGGTTGAGTTCCGGGCGTGAGCCCGAAGTCTTCAGTTAGACGCAGACGTTCATCAAATCGGAGGCGGAACCCAAGGAATTGGTAGGCTCGTTCCATCTTCATTCTGGTCTTAAGGTGTGTACGAAGACACTTCCTGCCCATTTTGAAAATTGGATCAGACACAAGCTGCATTTCCATTGTGCGAGTTCAAGGGAGCTTACTTTTCGGCTTTCGGCAAACGTAACACCCTTGACTCAAAATGTTGAAAATTCCGTACGTAGATGTACATGTTCAGTTCCACATTCATGGAGTTGATAGAATCTAGTTGTTTTACGTATCATGCATGAGCACCTCCCTGTACTGGAACAGGCTTTCGAGTTTGAGGTGCTTCACGATTTTACCTGCATTCGTGATTGAACTGGGAGTTTCGAGTTCAAGAAAACATTGCATTTCATTAGGGTCTTGCGACGCTTGGAGCACCACGTGCAAGCAAAGCCGAAGTGGGTCGGCCAAAATCCAGCGGTACGAAAGCAACAGTAAGAGTGTCGAGACCGGTTTAAGGCAACATGTAGAATGCAAAATGTCAAATGTATGTGAATGTAAGTGTAGGTGAATATGAATATGTATATGAACATGTAAATGTAAATGTCAATGTCAATGTCAAATTATATGTATATGTCTCTGTATATGTATATGTATATGTATATGTATATGTATATGTATATGTATATGTATATGTATATGTACACATGTTACATGCAAATAGCGCATCTTCGGAACCCCCGTCCATCGCAGTTCTTCAGTGGTTCTTTGATGCTGTATTGCTTTATGTTCTGCTGCTTTGTGAGGCATGAGAACGGAGCGAAAAGCAGATGTGGCCAGTTCTACGCCGTACTCGTCAAGGCTGGCAGCACCCAGATACAGAGCTGTTCCAGCTTCTGCGTCAATATACAGCTCAAGTTTGAAGAGCCCCCCCCCGGTCCAGGCCGGTGCAGCATCACATCGTGCCAGCTCCGAGCCGCAACAAAAAAGCGCGGCAAATGAGCAGCTTTGGCACATGTCGAGCTGTATGAGTTTGGACACTGCGAATCAAAACGCCCTCCCATGCTGCTGAGCCATGTGCGTCCGGGAGAAAAGCGATTTTTCCCGAAGCCAGTCCGATCCACGGCAAACGCCTGATACCAGCTCGTCCCAGAATCACATTGCAAGCTGAAGCAGCCCATAGAAACCCGCCTCGCCCACGTTGCCACTCCCATGGCTGTCGCGGCCTGTCTCGCACGCTTCCGCGAGGAGCGAGCTAAAGCTGGGCTCGTTGGTGTTCGAGATGGGTCAATCGTCCGAGTCCTTGAAAAAAGTGGCGCAAGCGAAGTGGGGCAGGACTATGACCGCCGGAGGGGGACCTCTCTGGAGGACCCGCAGCGGGCCCACAAAGCCCTCCAAGCCCAGAAGGCCCCCCCGCTGTGCCATCATGCCAGTCGAAGGATGTCACAGACCAATGGGAGTTTTAACCCCTTCCCCCTACTACGAAACACCCCCCAAGCCCTTAATTCTGGGAGTATTCAATATGAGGGGGGTAGGGACGGGATTCGTTTTGGTATTTCTATTTTTTTGGGGGGGTCCGGGTCTTCTGCAATTTTTCCTGCAAGGCCGCGCTGGCCAGGCTTCGGGACCCGAACTCAAGGAGTGAGAGCAATGAAGCGAGACATGGGTTTAGGGTTTAGGGTTTAGGGCATCTTTTCCCCTGAGCAGATCGTGCCTGGCTGCGAGGAGTTGCGATGGTCACCTGCCTAGCTCCCGCATCTTCCAGCGGAAAACCGGAAAGCAGCCACTGCCAGAAGTCGTTGGCAGAATCGAAAGTGGCCAACGTCCTAAGCATGTTGAGGTGTCAAGTCGCAGCCAGAAGGAGAGCAACCGTCAGCTCCTCAATCCGTTCCAACTATGCTAAGTTTACTGGCCTCAGGCCTTCAACACCCTGCAACTGTTTCGAAGCCTACAAGCAGGATATTGCGAGGGATCCATGCCTTGAACAGGCCAAGTTTGAAGTATCGTGCCACGAAAGACACCACTCTCTCCGATGCCAGCTTAGGCAGGAATCGGCCTCCGTCCAAGAGAGCGTGCAGTCGTCGCCGATTCACTTCAAGTCGAAGGTGCCCGGACTTTCCGCACGTTTTCTCGGCTTTTCATCATGCTTTCTTTCACGGAGCCGCCAGGAGGAGCTCGACGTGATGCGGAAGGAGATGCGTGAAGCGCAGCGAATGTTCGTGCCTCGCAAGGGCTGTCTCAAGATGTCTCGAGTATCATCTTCACGTTCTTGCGCTCGGGCAGTTATCTCATCTTGCATTGAACTGAGTGACCCCAAGATAGTGAGGGCTGAGCCCACGTGCAGACTGCATGTGCATGTAGGTTGATCGCCGCGCGACGGTCACTGATACAGAGACGTGTCAAAGACAGCCAATGAACTCAACTTAGTACTCGTAGCTCATTCCTTTTCAGAGGTCTTGGAGGTCTTGAGACTGGAAGAAGAGATGCAAGATTCTGCAAGATCAACCAGCCCTTGAGCCTACGTAGACGCACACAGAGAATGCCGTGCGGTGGAATGGCACGACTGCAGTCATGGGCAAGCACCATGACAAGGAGAGCCATCAAATTGTGTTGGTGTGTGTGTGGGTGGTCATTGGGTAGGCAAGGTGCTTACGTCGATGCAGGAGGGGGCGAAGAGGAAGCGCAAGCGAACGCACGACAGCTCGGCGAGTTCCGAGCGTCGATCGCAGCGGCGCTCGAATAGCTGCCGGGCAGCATTGATGCACGCACCGGGCACGCTGCCCTGTTCCCTGTTCCCAGCTTCGTCGAAACCTTGTTTTGAAAGCACAGCTAAGGTTTTGCGGGACCACTCCTCCCGGCTGTGACTCTGGACTTGAGAAGACTTAGTCAAGCACGAAGGGACATGTGAAGAAGACACGGTACAATTCGCAGCTGCTGCAGCCTTTGCGGTTCCAGGGCTTCCACAGCTTACGCAGCAGCATCTTCACAGGCTATCCGTTAGCTTGAAGTCATGGAGGCAGTGCCCAGTACTAGGAGATCTTAGCAGCCCGGGCTTTTGCGATGTCGGCACTTGCTCAGACTCAGAAGAGGTCTGTCCGATGGCAAGGATGGCCCTTGGCCTGCCTCCTGGTGGGAATGCTCGGACTGCTCTTTGCGCTGCCCGGAGAGCTGCGAGGTTTCGTTTCCGGACAAGTCGCAGGACTTAGCCGACCTCGAGGGGGAGCGCGAACGGTGGATACGGCGCGCCGGGCCCGTGTGGATGGTGAGTACGGCGTGCTGCCGGAACCGCCCTCGCCCCTCATCGAGTTGGAGGAGAAGGATCCCGTGCTGGAGGCCTTGATCACCGTGGTCCAGGCTGCGGACAAGAAGCGCGGCATGGACATCAGCGCATTTTGGGTCAAGGAGGGTTTTGAGATGATCGTGATGGTCACGGCCTTATCCCGTCCACAACTGCAGGCCATTGCCTCGGAGATTGAAAACAAGATGCGACATCAGTTACGGATGAAACGGCGCAAGAGCCAATGGCCAGGACAGACCATCCGAGACGAGGCAGCAAACGGATGGTGCTGTATGGTGTATCCGCGCATGACCATCAACATCATGACGCCCGTGCAGCGCTCCTATTATGATATCGAGAGCATTTGGAGGGACGACAACGAGGACTACGAGAAAGTGCCTCTGCACGAAGTGCTGCGCGAAGAAGGCTTCGGCAACCTTAGAATGACCAGGGAGCTCAGTGACCCAAACGACATCACTCCTCGAAGTAGAGAGGAGGATGCAGAAGTCTCGCCTTCGGAGTACGAAGCCTTTGATGACGAGGATGATTTGTACGAAGAAGACGAAGATGACCCTTTCTGGTCTTGAGAGCAGAGGCGTCTGCTTGCGGCGCTATCATGCGCCATCCGCTAGCCCGTTTGCAGTGAGGCGCTTTTCACCACGCTTTGAAAGCTGGGTCTCATTTGCAGGGAGTGAGCAGATGTCACGTTCCTGTTCTGTAGCCTTCAAGCTCTGCAATGCTCGAGGCCGATCGAGTCATGCTCGGCAGCCTAGTGCATTTTGGGCAGTATATGGACATGAGAAGCAGGCCAACCGCGACGACAAATACAGCGGGTACGGGTGCCTTTCTGGCCACTCCAACCTCACATCAGCCTTAAGCGTTTCGAGTTTCGAGGGAAGTTGCTTTGTAGGGCAAGTCCGCAAGCCAAGGACCGGGGTTTTCCCAGCTTTCCCTCCATTTCTGCCGCCGCAGCACCCTGGCAGCGTGCTGAAGCTCCATTGCTCCATTGGATCTAAACGAATCTAAACTTAAACCCTGAATCCGCGATGCGTGCCTGAGCTATTTGAGCTTTAGGTGGGCATTCATGGCCTCGGTCCACAGGCAATGTCGGGGAGACTGAGTACTGTAGTGTTGCATATCGAGTTGCTCCGCCGTGAACATCTCTTTTTGTAGCATGGTCCGTTGACTCTGCAGAATTATGCCTCTTGCTGCCCTGTGCTGCTCTTTACAGGGCCAAGAAGAAAAAGAAGAAGCGGAAGCGCCATGCAAGCAGCAGCACCAGCAGCGGCGATGCTGCTGTTGATGCTCGGACCTTTAGGCGTGGTTTCTGTTGTCCATTTGCACATTGTAGTTCCGGTCACTGCCCGGCGGACGCCCTAAACCCTAAACCCTAAACCCTAAACCCTAAACCCTAAACCCTAAACCCTAAACCCTAAACCCTAAACCCTAAACCCTAAACCCTAAACCCTAAACCCTAAACCCGGGTCTACTTTGGGACGCTCCTGCAGAAGGGCCTCCAACCCAAACCCGCCACGGTTTAGGGTTTAGGGTTTAGGGCTTAGGGTTTAGGGTGGGGTTTAGGGTGGGTTTAGGGTTTAGGGTTTAGGGTTTAGGGTTGAGGGGATATTGCTGCAGCGAACGTTCCAAGCACCGACAACAGGCGTAAGTTGCAGGTGCACAGGACATGAAGACGCGCAGCTGTGCATTCGTCCAATGCCGTCATGTTGACCAAGCTTTTGCCATGTAGCCTTTCACAAGGGTGTAGGTGCGAAAAGCGCCATGCTGTATATCCCGCCTGTGTTGGGCTTCTGAGTCCTAATCTGGTTGTGGTTTGCCGCCTACGGGATTGGATATGACTGCTGCCAGTGCTGGTACCAAGTTCATTGCAGAACGCACTAGCTCCAAAGCCAGACAGCACCGCAACAAACGTCGCATGCTGCGACACTTGCTGCGACTCGCGGTGGTGAAAGCCTTGAGCTCATGTGGGCTTCGACAGAGTTCTAATGTAACAGCGCCCAAACAAGAGCCGACGGTGTCTGCTGCTGAGAGTTTTTGCTGTGTCCTGACAGAGTACATGGCGACCTCAAGCCTCAGTGTGGCTTCTTGTTGGCGAAGCTGGCTTGCACACAAGCCTACTTCCCCGAGCTGCCGTAGCAGAGACCTTTTCCCGCTGCCCAGACTTGAGAGCTGGCCGAGCCAAGTGGATAGTGACACCGTGGACACGGCTTGTTGCCTGCAGGTTGCAAACATGTGTTTGGCTGCGCTGAACAGTTTGGAGCAAGGCCTCAAGCCAACATGCAAATGGGAGGCTGTGCCCACCAAACCTACTGCTGCGCAACTTTCTGTTCAGCACCATGTGGCTGGTCGAGTTGCCCGCTTTCTTGGCCGTTTGAATGGTGAGCTAGGGTCCCAACTCGATTGGCGCAACAGTTTCCACATCTTCGAAGAGTCGTCGACAAACGTCTACCAAGGTATACGCGCTGCTGACGTTGACCTGCCGGCTACTGCGGCCACTTGCGAGCCACTGGACCTGATCTCACAGGAGCTTGCAGCAGCCATTGCTGATGATTCGCAGGTCTTCCCGGAGGTTCCGAAAAGCCAAGACGAGGGAGACCCCTTCTTTTCAAAAGCTGAGCGGGACGAGTACATCCAGCTCACTGTGCGAGAGCTCAACTGTGGCAAGCTGCGCCTTCGTCCGGAGGTGGAGGCCGTTGCCGGCATCTTCGCGGCTGGAAAGTCAGGCGGCCGTCAGCGGAAAATTTGGAACGGAGCTTCTGTTTCCCAGTTGGCGCAGGTGCCGCCAAAGCCAAGGCGGCTGGCTAACCCTTCCTGCTTCCTTGACGTGGACGCTTCAGCTGGGGAGAGGCTCTACTTCTCCAAACGAGATGCTGCGACGTTTTTCGATGCGCTGAAAGTGCCGAAAGCGCTGCAGAAATGGTTCGGGCAACCTGCTGTGCAAGTACGAGAGCTGGTTGAGGCGGGTATGAGCTTGGAAACCATCTTTTCGCTTTGCGACGACTTGCCCTCGAGAGATGTTAAAGCTGATATGTGGTTGTATCCAGCAAACGTGGTCTGGCCCATGGGATTCTCATGGTCGTCAGCTGTGGCGCAGGACACAACGCTAGCGGTCTGTGCCCGCGCTGGCATCCGGGAAGAGTCAATTCTCAGCCCAGACCATGGCCCGCCGCAGCAACAGCAGGAACTAGTTTTCGTTGCCACGGATGACACAGTCCTTGTGCACCGCGACTGCAAGCTGGGAATGCAGACGCTAAGCAACCTCGACGCGGCTTTCCTGGACAACGGCATACCGCGAAATGTCAAGAAGGACGTCACCTTGGCCTCCAGCATTACTGCTTTGGGGTGTGATCTGTGCGCCAGCCCTCCAGTCGCTGAGCCTGGGATAGCACGTCTCTGCCAAGTTGTCGGCCGGACCTTAGATCTTTTGCATAATCCGAATGCTAGTCCTAGGGGGGTTCTTAGGTTGCTAGGTGTTTGGGAGTGGTTTGTACTTCTGCAACGAAGCATGTTCAGCATCTACGACGCTGTCTACAGCTTCAGCAGGAAGACCCCTGAACACCAAACCGCTGCAGTGCCCGACAAGGTCCTCAACGAGTTCTTGACAACCCTGCTGCTCGCGCCTCTGCTCACAGCTGGCCTGGATCGCCGACCTCTGAGTACGCTTGTGGCTACAGATGCCTGTCCCGAATATGGGTTTGGTGTCTGCGCAGCAGAGTGCTCGCAGCTGGATGCTTTTCAGGTGTGCAATATGGCAGAACGCCGGGGTGATTTCGTGCGCCTCACTACCTCAGCAAGCGACCCAGTTGAAGTTCCCAGGCTAGGAAAGCCAAGGCGCCTTCCTATCAAGCAACAAGATTTCAAAACAGTGGTCTCTTGTCGTGCGAGATGGCCAGGGCACTCCGGGGTACTCGAGATGCACG